AAGTTAATGAAAAAAGATTATTTTTTAAAACTTTTAATCTAAATCAGCATAAAACATAAAAAAATTATCATTTCTTTTGAGAGAAACGATATATAAAGTATGTCGCCTTAATTAGAAAATAGATTGAATACTATTTAGGATAAAAGAAAAAATATTGCAAAACGTGTTTCTTCGTCTTTTTTCTTAAAAAAAGTGAAACTTTTGTTGATAGTGGGGTTCATACCACAACACTAGTGTAGAAAGCATTTCTACGGTCCTTTTCTTATCACTAAACCATCTATCAAACTTGTTAATGGGTTTACAAGTTTTACATATTTATTTATTTAATTTTCTAACGTTTCACAGAAAAAAGCTACTAGTTTATTCAAACCCATAAACCCCACTTAGTTCATCTCTACCTATCCAACTACTCTATCCAAAGTGACTTTACTTATATTGTGAGATTACACTGTATATATTATTATAGTAAGTTTATCATTAGCACATCATTTTAAGCAATGTAGGGTAAGAGAGCCTTATATATCATTTACTTTTCTTAGTGTCCTAGCAAGGAAACAATACTTTAACAATAGTATTCAAAATTGAAATATCATCAAAAGAGAAGGACATAAAATAGTCATGGAATTATGTGTAATAATAATAATAGAAGCAATGCAAGTAGTAGTAAGATGGAAAATTCACTTGTTATTCTACAAGATTTTCTGGGACCCAAAACAAAGATACCATAGAATTTCTAAAGAAAATGACTTTTGCCAGCAAATTGATGTCTTCAAGAGGCAATTTGGTGCTAAGGCTAGAAAACTCAGAATATCCTACTAATTGTAGGTCCCTTCCTATCCTTTTTTTGCTTTCTTTTTTTCAAAATATAAATTATAAACATTCTAGACCAACCAAAATATATATCCCACTTTATTCCAATAAAAATATCAAAATTCCCCTTTTCTCTTTTTCTTTTTTTTTAAAGGACGATATTGTTCATTGCGTTAATTATTTGAGTCTATATTTCGTTTTAATTTGACGTGATGACATTAAACGAGAAATGTACTAATGCAAGAAGAGATTTGAACATCTATTCTTTTTGTATATTTAAGAATGATATGATCTACGAGTCGTATGTATGGATAATCGTTAGTGTACGTCCATTACTTGTCATCGATAAGAGATGCTAAAAAATGTTGGCAGGGTTCAGAAAGAGTCTAACATGAAATTTAGAATATCTACGGGCTAGTAAAATTTGATCTGTATGCTTTTTTATTTAAATCTAAACGAATAATCGTTCCATTTATTAAGAACTTGAATTGTTCATTGTGTTGATTGCTTGAGTCCACTATATTTTAATTTGATGTGAATCGTGATGACATTAAACGAGAAACGTACTTATACATAAAGGAATTTGAATATCTATTCTATCTGTATATCAAGATATCGTCTTTATAGATAAATTTTTACTAAAAATGGTATGTTCTGCAAGCCATAACTAGGGAGGGTCGTTAATTGACATTCATTACATTTCACCAGTTAGAGAGATTTTCTTTGATACATTAAGAAGAAGAAAAATTCAGAGGGGCTAGAAAGACTCGATCATAGAATTTAGAATGCCTAGTCACGCAAAATTAAATTTATAGATTTTTAAAAAAATATAAGAAATTGTTCCATTTACTAAGAACTTGAATTGGACCCCTCATTCACATGTTACATTTTTTTGAAAATAAATCTTGTAAGATTTCACAAAATATTTAAGAAAGATAATAATCAGAAAAGGCTGATTTTCTTCAGGCAGAAATCAGGAGAAAATGAGAGGGACATTTTGTTGTGTTTAGGTTCTTTAAAGATGTCCAATATAGAAAGTTTGATTTGCTGTCAATTTGTTGGTCATGTAAGAGAAAAATAAAAACTATATTCCAAATAAAGTCTAATTAATGTAATTCTTGTATTTTGTCTGATAATATGTGGGCAACATATGTTTTTTAAAAAAAAAAATTTTGTGATGCAGAAGGGTCTGTTTGGGTGTTGCAGTGTAACAACAGAGAAAGGCCTAGTTGATTGTCCAAAAATTTGTCATTTCTGAATCAATAACAGCTCATCATAGGACCACTTATTACCATGTTGAGTTTGATATTGATTTTTACAAAACAAGTTAACTGTTTTTCGAAATTCTTGTAGACTCCTTTTTCACTAGAAAATAAACGAATCGTGAAAAAAAAACAGTCATCTTATATATATATATATCTCCTTTTTGGGAAAAGGAATACAAAGGAGATGGAAGAAAAAAAGAGAGGATGGAATAATCATCTTATTTTTATTCTCTATGTACGAATTGCATGTTGGCACGAAAAAAAAAACCTTATCATATTGCATGTAGACATAATAATAACATATATTCATGGTCATTTATATATTTGATATATTGTGTTTAAGATCAAAACGAACTTAATTAGTAATCTTAAATCATTAATATAGAACTTTTTTATCGTGACTTCTTGGAAATTTGTTAATGTATGAGTATGACTATAGTCTATATATTATTAAAAAGTGTCATATTGATTTTTGTGTAGGATTCTATTCTTGTGAATAGAAAGGTAAAAGGAAAAAAAGAAGATATGGAATAATCATTTTATTTCATGATTATTAATATATTGTGTTTAAGATTAAAACGAATTTACTAGTATATTTAAATCATTTATGTTATTTCACTTTTAAAAGAAATGTTAAACTTAATAATCATATTATATCTCTCCTCTATATTTGAATCACAACGTCTATACATCAAACACATTTATAATAACATTTATATACGCCATATACATAATTTTGATATATTGCATTTCAAGATCAAAACAAGCTTACAATTATACTTAAAACTACGTATATGAAACTCCTTATAAATCACTTGTAGAAAATTTTGCTAAACTCCTTATATTTGTATACAAAAATAAATAAAACTTTTTATATTGATATGCATTTTTTTTTTTATTGCGTATAAAAATTGCTAATTTGAGGAAAAGGACATAAACATGAGAAAAAAGGGTCCCAATGAATCATCACCTGAAGAAAAAATTGAAAACAAAAAATTCATATTTTTGGAAGATAAATGGAAATCTCTTCTGTCCCAAACAAACATGTTGTCAACCTATACAATTATTGCCTCATTTTCCTATAATTCCAACAATATTATTTGTGTTTCTCTAACTGAATTTACTGACTACATTTCATATCAAAAATCACAATTCATTTTTCAACAAATTATTCCTTCATTCATTAGAAGATGTTACTTATTGGTGCAAAAATTAGAAGAGAAATTAATATAGTGACAATATACAACTACTAAACTAGGACAACGTGATAAAAGCTTATAAGTTGGTCAAAATTAATCAGAATACTTACTAAATCAAGATAAAAATTTTAACTTATAAGTTGATCAAAACTAACAAGCGTATTTACTAAACTAAAGACATCAAGGTAAATTAGTCAAACGAGTAACATATTAGATAAACTAAAAACAAATTATAAATCATAAGTTGGTCAATCCCAACTTGTAGTTTTAAAATTTATTACAAGTATTTTTTGTTTAACGTAATAACATTTTCCTATTTGATTATCTCTGTTTCCAATATTTGTTAATCATCCTTTTTTATGTTAAAAAAAAACACTTCTAAGCATTAATTTCGATATTTAATGTTTTTAATTTCGAATGCTTATCAACTATTTTTAATCCGTTAATTTGCCTGATCAAATAAAGGCTCACTAATAAAATAATTGTACTATAGTGTGGCATTTAGTTAGTTAAGTCCTTTTACAACTCATACATGCCGTTTTTAATTCGTGTGGACTAGTATTTATATATCTACAAACATTATGCTAAAAGGCTATATTACAATTAATAATTATAATATGTACACATGTGACCTATTTGTCCCGCTTTATTGCAATTTACTTTACATGATTAAACACTATACTAAATTATTGTTTCATTGCACTAAAGATATGATATAATAAAACCATAAAAAATATAAACAAATATAAAGAATGTAGACTAAGAAACTACAATAGTAGTAGTTGCAAATCCATCTTACATTCTTTTAAGTGTAGAGTTATAATCCCGCTAACAATTCCCCGAGAATATTTGATACGTTAGATACATTGAGATATTTAATAATAAAATTAGAAAAAAAATTGTGTTATATTTGATTAAAGGTATAAATTTATTCTGAATACAATAGTAAATTTTAGATAGAATGACATCGAAGGTTATTACACTTAGATTGAAATATCAACTAGATTCCGGCTTTGTCAGCTGAATACTTAAACTCGCCAAATTCAATTTTTAAAATTTCATTCAAAACTTAATCACGAATAAAAAGGTTTATTAGTTGGTTAATCATGAATAGAAAGTCATTAGTACCAATGCTTTGTGAATCTTGAAATGCAACGTGGAAAAACCAAAACCAAAACTCTTATATTGTCCTCTATTATATAGTTTGTGGTACCAAAAGTTTCATCCTATTCATTTATTGGTAAAAAAAATATACCTTTTTTCAGTTCAACTAATGTTGGAGCACAATTAGTTAGGTAAAAAGTCCATACATTTATTTCTTTGTGTGAGCATTTTGAATTTGAATTAGAATAAAATACACAGTGATGAGTTGAACATATTGTATACATATAAATAAAGGTTTGTACTATTAAGTCAAACTCTAAGCTAAGCTAGAAATTTCGAGTTTAATATATTTTTAAAATAATCAAAACTTCAAATGTTGAATACAGATATGAAATATCGAACAAAACGAATTATAAAATTTGAAGGATTGAGAATGTGTTCAGGTTAAGCATGTGTGAATGCAGGCTAAAAGCATTCATGCCATTTCATTCTTTCACCTAATTCTTATTGCTACTAAAGTCACGTGTCCGTACACGTGCCTTTATCAGACCCCACCCCACCCCCTTCACAATTAAAAAATAATAATAATTAATTAGCAATTAAAATAATAATTAGTGAATAATTAACAATTGCTAAAGTCGCTTATTGTTATTAATGAAATATTAGCAGAAGCACAAAACACAAAAACAACACTGTACCGCAAAATCTCATCCATCATCATCACCGTTAATGTGACGGAGCTGTTACATATTAATACTACTAATTACTCACTAATCACTCACATTAATCAACAAATTTAAACAAAACTGATAAACTAAACACAAAATTAAATTTTAAAATACGAATATTAAACCATTTATACTGATCGCCGATAAATCTGCCGATGAAATCAAAGAGCCACAAGCGGGTCAGACCCGAATACATCTCCGAAATCCTGAAAGAAGTCCTCTTCGGGCCAGGATGAAGATCCGAAACCGTAATCTGTAGTACTTGACCCGAATAACATATTATTGTAGTCGGGTAAAGTATCCGGTTCAAAAAACAAGTCGGATATGGTAATCGGGTTCTCGAACTGAAACAAATCATCGGGGAAGAAACTCTCGAACGGTGGTAAATCGCAGAAGTTTTCCGACATGGAAATGTCATTTTTGTCCCTGATATCGGAGGGTAAAATCGGTAATGACTCAGCTTCGGCTTCCTCGTTATTCTGAGATTCATCAAATGAAGTTGAAGCACATCGTAGAACGGACTTCGGCGAGCGTTGATCGTTGTGCGATTCTTCGCCGGAGTTGTAGCTGGAGCAGCTGATTTTCGTCGCCGGAGGAGTGGCGAAGTTTGTGAGCGCGTCAGGCCCACGTAGCTGAATAGCCGCGTGGTCATAAACCATGGCAGCTTCTTCAGCAGTATCGTAAGTGCCTAACCATAACCGTACACGTCTCAGTGGATCTCTGATTTCTGCCGCCCATTTGCCCCAAGGCCGTTGCCGTACGCCGCGAAACTTTTTAACATGGTTCACTTTTAGCTTACTCGCCGCCGTTGTTGCTCCGGCGGTCTTCTTCCTCCTCTTCGGTGCTGCAGCGACAACGGGAGCAGTTTCCGACGATGACCCATTTCTCAAAACCCCATTTACACTTCCATTACAGTGGCTGCTCTGCTCTATCCGAACTTCATTCACAAACTTTCTCACTCTTTGACGGCCATAAAACCCCTGTTCCCCTTCATCACTCGAAGAGTCAGTAGCATCAGCATCAGTAACAGTAATCCTTACAACTCTAGGACCGGCAGCATTCATCTCAGAGCTTCTCCTCCGACCATTAAAAGTCACCGGAGGTGCTGGTCTAACCATAGTGATTTGCTTTCTATGTTCGGTATACTTAACACCACTAGACAACATGGTTTGTTGGTCCATCTTTATGTGATTTTCTCAGATTCGCATTGAAAGCGAAAGTGTGAGAGAGGGCGTGAAGTAGAAAAGGGGAAAAAGATTCTACGAATAAAGACGACTAAAGAGAGAAGAGGGTCTTTAAGTTCACAAGCTTTTGTAACAGTTTTTAAGTATGAAAAAAAGTGAAAAAACAAAAATCTTCAAAGAACTGATTATGTTGGAAACCACCCCTTTTAAACCCCAAAAAAAAAGTAGCAGAAAAATAAAAAGAAGATTAAGAGCTTCAAAATCTTTTTTTCAAAGATAAGAATATGGGTTACGTCAGTTCTGCAACACCAGAAGCAGAAAAAAAGTTTCAGAAGAAAACAGAGACAGACAGAACCGTATAAAAGGAGCCCAAAAAAAAGATCAACTCTGAAGAATCAATCACTTTGCTATATATAAGAAGCAAAAATTTGTGAAGAAATTTGAAATTTTCAGAGAGAAAATGAAACAGAGTACAATATTGAACTGAGTGTAAAGAAGGAAGAGTAAAGAGTGGAGACCGAAACAACTGGAAATCCTATTATATAGGATCTTCTAGTCGAAACAGTGCAAAAAAATTAAAAATAATTAATTAAGACTAATTAAACAGTAAAAATTTAATTAACGGTGGGGTTCTACCGGAGGTTTAAGGTACCGGCCAATGAGGTTGAGATATTTTACGAGCCGCCGCATTTTTGGTGGAAGGTGATGGCGACACGTGGATTATGGTCCCACTAACGGCGTGAATTAACGGTGTAGATAAGTTAAGGTGAGTCAGCAATGGGCGGAACTTGTGAGCCTTGAAAACTGTGATTCAGGTCACGTGATACCGGACCGGACGGTTCCGTTAATTTAGTCAGTCAAATGGTTTAAGTACTACCACGTCAGTCTATCTTTGACTAAAAAGTAAATTTAACCTCCCATATTAACATTAATTTATTTGTATTAAGTGCTCACCGATCAAATAATGTGGTGCAGTTGATGTGATTATTTATTTCTTTATTTAAAAATCTTGATTATGAAACCTTGATATGAAAAACACTTATTCGAGAGAACTTGATAAGTTTTATATGGCGTGAATCTAAATTTGAGATACTAAATATAGAACGAGAAATCAAAAATATGTAAATACTCTATGTATGTTGTAATATTATGTACTACTCCATCTGTTCTTAATTATTTATTTATTTCTTCGTTTAGATCTTTTCAAATTTTTAAAATTAAAAATTATCAACTTCATAACTATTAAAACGGTAAAGTCAATTTTTATTTTTATAATAGCATTATCAATTTCAATTAAAAAAAAAGCAAATAATTAGAAGCGAATGAATTATTATTTATAGCATTTTAATGTTACTTATGATATTTCTTAAAATACTTTGGAAAAATCTATCTAACTTTTCAAAAACAAAAGCTTTATCTAAATGCTTTTTTTTTAATCACACAATGACTCGAGGCCTTTTATAAAACAATTTAACTATATAGTTCCTTTGTTAATAATATCCTTTATTCTGTATTTGGCGCATAATGACTCGAGGCCTTCTATAAACAGAAAAAAAAGTTTAATCTTTTACCCCACTTGACTTGTTTTAAAAAAAAATTAATCAATATATTTTAAAAGTTTTAATTACCTTAATTACAGCTTATGAACAGAACAACGTGGGAAGGCAACCTCGTTTTTTGGTCACATTTTAAATAAAAGTTCTGTTTTTTTAATATAAATAAATTAATTAATTAATTTATTTAATTAATTATTTACTGTGAGTCTGTTCCCTTCCACTTATCTTACAATATTTGTACTAGTTTCTGTTTCCCCAATCGTCACCAACTTTCTCCTATAATCAATCTTTTCATTAAACGTGGCATTTCTTTTTTAAAAAAATAAAAATTTTAATATGAAATAAAAATTAAAAACTTATAGTATATAGGTTAACTTTTAAATACTAAAATATTTTATTTCTCTTAAATCGACATACAAATAAATTGGTCCAACTTGTTATTCAATCATTTTCAGAAAGTTGATGATAAGTTTTTAGGAATGTCTCTCTATGCTTGAGTTACTTGTAAATTGTCTGTTAGATTACAAAGTCTAAAGATATTATTTCAAGGCTTTTCACGAATCTTAATTATAAGTTATTTGCATTCTACATAAGTTACTTGATTGCAAAAAATTTTAATCAAGACATCGTAAGAGTATTTATATAAATATCTATAGTACATTATATTTCTAAGGTAGAAATATCTTAGATATTTATAGATTTTTGATCTTTTATTATGATAGTATAGCTTAAAAAATTATTTTTTTTACAATCAAAAAGTGATATAATTAACGATGAAATTTGAATATAATTATATCATTCATAAAACTTATGACATGTATTTAAAATACTACAGCAGATATCCTATCTTTTTTTCAAGATTATTAAATATTATATTTTAATATATAGATATAATTTCATATTTTCAAGTATTTTTTTTTTTTTTTTTTTTTAAAAAAAGTAGATGAAATATAAAGGTTGATCCAAAGGAATATGACTGTGAAACTTATCTAGTTCGTACAGTTGGATTCTTGATTATCCAATTAACAGATTCAATCCAAATAAAACGGCCTAACAGTATCTAGCTTCCACTAATGGGTGCAACGTGTAATAAACTTACTAGTACTATTTTTTTGTTACAATATATACAAAATTTTTAATATTTATATTATTTTTTAAATGGGGAAAATATGAATTTATTTCATATATGTTATTCAAAAATAAGTAAATTGGTATCTTTAAACTTCTTATTAAACAAGTATGAGAAGTTGGTTGTATTAGTAAGGAGAGGTAAAATATGTTTAAAAACTATTTTTTTAAGAAAAAAATGATTAAATAAAACATAATTTTCAGATAAATATGTATAAATATCGATCATAATAAGTATTGTCTCGCCTTTACGTAGGATCATAAAGGGCAAGAATCCTCCTTTTCCTCTTCACAATTTATTGGTAGTCATATCTGGTAATGAGATTGTCTCTTATTATTTTATGTGGGGTATTATGTTTTGCAATTTTGATTATATTTTTTTTTAAGTTAGAGGTCTATTTAAAAATAATACTTTAACCTATAAAGATAAAATATACATATTAATCAAAATTTAAACGTTATAATCATGAGTTATGACATGTACATATGACATTCGTTTTACTCACCAAATTAAAAACTTTATCAATTTTCGATTATATAATAACAAGCAATATTATATTTAATACTTTTAATCTTTAAAAATTTTATCCGTATCGATTCAAATTGTATCGTATATTATATAACATAAATAAGTGTTACCATCTAGGAAACAAGAACAAATGATGAAGTAGCAATAACTTGGGAAGTAAAATTGTCTGAGATTACTAGGAATTAATTAGAGTACTTAATTAGCCGGATTAAGCTAATTGGATTATTGCTTAGTAACCTACAAACTCCAAACATTTCTTAACACCGTATCAAACAAACAAAGCCGTCTTCTCTTTGTTTCATTTGATCATTTTTGTTTTCAAAATCAAATTATAGAATTAATTATTATTTTTCTTAATTAAGAACGGCTAATCATTCATAATTATTGCGATAATGCCGGATTAAAATTAAGTGATTTTTCCCACTTTCGTAGTAAAAATCGAACTTGTTGTATTGTTGAAATTGCCTTTTAACATTATATCTACTTTGAATTTTAACTGTCAAATCACTATAAGTAATTAATTTATCAGTCAATTATCAGCATGAATAAGTTAGTTTTATGATATGGAATAGTTTAAAGTAATTTGATATTTATAAGATTGATCAAGCTTGTACAAGGGGTGGATAAATAAATTTATTCGAACTCAATATTTTTAATTTCAAAAAACTCAATATTAAAAATTTAAAAGTTAAAATCGAATTAAAATTTTAAATTCACCTTTCGTATTAATATACGCAAGAACAAATTATAATCAATGCATGATGTTTGTAACTAGTTTTTTCATAATAAAGAATTAAGAAATAATTCTCGTCTTTTAAAATTAGCCTTATTTTAATATATGAAGTTTTATACCATTAAAGAGTAATTAATATATTTTATCAAGGCATTTAATTAACGGTAAAATAGTAAGTACCTCACTCTTAATATGAGTTAAATAAAAAAAAATGATACAAAATTTGATTTAATTATCCTTGATATTTAAAACTTTATAAGCTAATTAAAAATGTTGTTTGAGCGGCCGTTAGAAACAAATGGTGTTAGATGTTCAAATTAAATTCCATTTAAAATGATTGATTGTATATATAGAGAATATTATTGTCAAGTCATAGTTAGAATTATAATATGGTTCCAAATTCCACTTGATTTGAGTCATATATTCATACAAAAAGTCATAATCAAATCCAAAATTAGTAAATATGAGAATAGTTCGATGCAAACAAAATTGTCCTAACATGTATGAAAAAGTTGATTTAAGTCTTTTTCTTCTTTAGTACTTAATTTATGTAACAATTTGGATAAAGGTTAACACGTCTTTATTAAGTTATTCCCTTTCAAGTAATTTTGTCTTTAAATAGTTTAATTCCATATTTTTGTACGTTTCACATTTTATTTCCCATTAAATATTTAATTTATTTTTGTATAATTTAATACATATATTATTCAATATATAAATATCATTATTTTTTATTTTATATTATATTAAATGTAACGACATGTTTAGTCGTTTTGAGCAGCAGATTTTATTTCTGGAAAAACAGGGCTGAGACGACGGAACCCACGACGGACCGTCGAGGGGTCTCGTTTCAAAACACTTAGAAATTCTGAAATTGGGTACTGAAAATCGACTCTCTGAACTTCGTAACGGAATGGCAGGACGGACCGTCACAGACTCTTTGGTGGAAATTGAGTCTCCGAACCTTGCGACGACCTGCAGGACGGACCGTCGCAGGCACGACGGGCCGTCACAGGTTGCGTAATCCCAGTCTGGATCAGATTTCTTTACACGTTTTAAGGGACGTTTTGGACTATTCCTACTTTAATTATAAAGTTAGTGGATTTATGTTAATAAGTATAATTACTTGGGAGTTAAAAGAGGTAACCTTGAGTAAATTAGTGGATTATTATTTCCATCTTTTATTCTTAATTATTGCTAATTAGGGTAAAAGAAAGGGGGTTTGAATAAGAAAAAGAAAAGAACAGAAAGAGAGAGAAGGAGAATCGATAGAGAGAGACGAACGAAGAGGAAAAACACAAGGCTTTGGGAAATTCTTGCTTGATCACTAGTCTTCGGTGGAGGTAGGTTATGGTTTCTCTTACGATATTCGTTGTAAACTCTTAATAGCGAATGATATGTATTGATAATATTGTAAAACCCTGCTATGTGCTTAATTGTATGCTTGCATGAATGTAATTATATAATTGTGATTATATAAGCATGATGAAGTTATTGAATCCCAAATCTTGAAAAACCCTAATCTCCTTTGTTAATGATGAGGCCTTGGTATAAAAGAAGGCGTGATGAACTAA